AAAGTCATGATATAATTAGTTGAAAAGTTAATGAGAGCATCTGAGAGAAAAAGCTTTTCATGCAACTAGCTGATTTTAAGAGATCATAAAGCTTAGAAAATCATCGAAAAAGCCAAAACCCGAGATATTTGAGAGGATAATTGAGATGAGTATAACGAGTCGCTAAGTCCATGCATGATTCAGATGGGCAAACAAAAAAATGGGTGGTTGAGCAAATTTACCCTTTGAAAATGGATAGTCGAAACGTTGTATTCGATAATTTGGATCGTTTATGACAAAATGATCGGTAGTTGAGCAAATCTCAAAATAGCCCATTAAGTAGGTGACGTTATCCAAACAGATACAAGCTTCCTAAGCAAAATTAACTTTTGTGAATCGAAAGTGTACCAGCTTGCTTACTTAGAAATCTATTCAAGCTATTGTACACGGAAGGCTTGGATGAATTATTAAATACCAAGGTAAATTTATGATTATAAGAATGAAACCGCAAGATTAAAAGTGAAGTGTAACAAAATGAAACAGCTTGCTATGTTATATTGAGCAGAGTGCTGAGCATAAATAATATCATTGATAGGCTGAATTTGTACGGAAAAAATGGAGAATTTGTATGGAAAAAATGGAGAAATGTTACTGCAGATGTGTGCAAAAACTGGAAGAATAGAGTGAGAAATGATTATAGCATGTATTGTGGTAGAACCGCTTATTAATGTTTAATTAAGGAAAAAATAGTTTTAGATGATTTCCTAAAGTGTGCAAGGAAAAAATGGAGAAATGTTTAATTAATGTTTAACACTGCCGTTGCCGGTCCCAAGCCCGGATGAGAAAAGTGGAGGGTTGCGTTAAGTAGTCGACAGCCAGCGTAAAACTTGTCGAAAAAATCATGACATGAATCCTTTTGATCATTGTGTAAGTGCTAGGGCGTCCCCTGGAAGCGACGCGCTGTATAGCCTGAATACAGTGAAAAGTGTGCAAGGGCCGCTACACCGGCGCCCGGGTGTAGTGTTAAATAAGCAAGGGTTCCCACATTACGGGCGAATGCGGGTAAAGAAGTTAGTCCATGAAACTAATGAAACTATTATTAGGATAGGATCTTGGAATATAGGCACTCTCAATGGTAAATTAATGGAATTAGTTGATATTATGATTCATAGAAAAATTAATATCTTATGTATTCAAGAAACTAAGTGGGTGGGAGAAAAGGCTAAGGAGATTGATAATTTAGGTTTTAAACTTTGGTATTCTCGTAAGAGTCGCACTAGAAATGATGTAGGTGTAATTATAGATAAAATGTTGAAAGATAATGTTGTAAAAATTAATAGAGTTGGTGATAGAATTATAGCCCTTAAGATTATCATTGATACTAAGATTTTTAATATTATAAGTGTTTATGCTCCTCAAGTAGGTTTAGATACAGAGTCTAAAGATAAATTTTGGAATGACTTAGAAGACTTAATACAAATGATACCTCTTGAAGAAAGAATTTTTATTGGAGGAGATTTAAATGAAAATGTCGGTAGAGTGGTAGAAGATTTCAGAAATATTCATGGTGGCTACGGTTTTGGAGTAACTAATGAAGAAGGTAAAGTTATTTTAGATTTTGCTTTAGCGTTTGATTTTGTTATTACTAATACTTTATTCAAGAAAAGGGATGAACATCTTATTACTTATAAGAGTGGATCTAATAAAACACAAATTGATTATTTTCTTATGAGAAGAAGAGATCGTCATGATTGTAAAGATTGTAAAGTCATTCCAAGTGAAAATTTAAATACCCAACATCGTTTATTAGTTTTAGATTTTAAGATTAAGAGTTGTAAAATAAAAAATACTAGGACTCATCATTGCAGAATTAGATGGAGAAACTTAAAAGATACAAATAAAATTAATTTTATGAGTAAAATTCAAGATTTCAAAATTTGGGATATTCATGAAGAAGCAAATGTGATGTGGGATAAAGTAACAAACGCTATTAAACATGTAGCAAAAAATGTTCTTGGAGAATCAAAG